AAACTTAATGGTACCATCATTTTGACCAATTTGTAGGCTATAAGAAAGCAGAATTCATTTAGATATTCTGTAAGACACTTACAAAGGGATCCTGACTATGCCCTGATGGAAAAGAAACTAGCCACTGAAGACTTGCCTCTACTGTAAAAACTATATATTTACACTGTATTATTGTTGTTCAGCTTTTACAATCAACAAATAGTACAAAATATAACAGACTTAACTTTACAAAATGGAATACAAATATTATCAATCCTAATTCTTTAAAAGTTAATCTGGATAGAAGCCGAGGGAATGGGCAAGAAAAAATGAGGCACTAATCATCTCACCATATCAGAGACTCAAGAAATACTGTAAGTTCGTAAAACAAATATAATTTTAAGTATATTAAAGTCATAAAGGGGCCAGCATGGTAGTTCACACCTGTAATCTCAACGCTTTGGGAGGTGGAGGCAGGATTGCTTGAGGCTACAAGTAAGTTTGAGACGAGGCTGGGCAAAGATCCCATCTCTACCAAAAAAACAAAAAAATGCATTTAATACCTGGGTATGGTGGTACCTGCCTATAGTCCTGGCTACTCAGGAGGCTGAGCCAAGTGGATAGCTTGAGTCCAGGAGTTGGAAGTTATAGTGAGCTATGATCATGCCTGGGCAATGGAGCAAGACCCTGTCTCTAAAAAAAAGTCAAAGTCACAAAGGCAAACAATGGAACAATTTGAAATACTGATAGAGACATATTGGAAGTAGGACGGGAGCAATAGTGGGTGTGGTAAACTGAACTCTCACCTAGTATCTACCAAGTTGAACCAAATCCCCAATTCAATATAGAAAGTTGATAAACGAGAAAGTGGCACAAGTATATTTTAAAATACTGAGGTATCCACCAGAACTTAAAACAAGTAAAAGTCAATGCCTCAACAGGAATAGAAAAGGGTAGGGTAAGAAACTAAGACTGTTGCCTGTCATTTAGAAATCTGTCTGTACTCTAATTTTCAAAACCATGTACATGATTACATATTTTTAATAAGAAAAAGTTCTTAAGTTTATAAGAGCTGATGTATGAAAATTAAACATTTAATGCTTTCATTCTGTGAATGCTTTTGATCTGTTTTAAAGGTTTAAAAGTACATGTACATATGTGTATATATGTGTATATAGTAATAGCTGAAATAAAATGCCTTCCACTACAATTTGTTATAGGAAAAACTGCATCACACAAAATATTTTCTCAATGTTCCTACAAACAGGACATTAGCACAAGGATTGCAATTAGAAAAATGTTCCAGTTGAATTCAATGCTAAAATGGCTAGCTGAAGATGAGCACAAATTATTTAATTAACCTATGCTATCACCAAAATAGCAGCAACACTAGTTGCCAGAAAATACCTTTCTCCTTTTAACACTAGTGTGGCTTTATTCTACCCAACTCTTAAAAGGGCTTTTTAAAAATTCCAAGCATTTATTTGAACCAACCAACTTTTCAGTTTCTGCTTTAAAAACATGCTTTTCAATTCTTTAATAAGCTAGTTTAAACAGTATTGAAAAACTCTGTATTTGAGTTTTAATGTAAAAAAATCATGGTGTATCAAAAACAAGTATCATAAAATGCTGCATATTTAACTTTACACATACATTTTAAATTTTAAAGCAGTTTTTGTTCACTAGAATATTTTAAGACAAAACTCTTCCCTTCCTCTCCTCTAATTCTATTCCACTCAGAAAGTAAACAGTATTGTTAGTTTGGTGCATATTCTTTCGGCACACAAATACCTATACTTCCTCCTCTCTCACACACACACACACACTTAAAAATTTTTCACAAAAGGCACCAAGTGACTAAGTATTTCACTCAGTATCCTGTGTATATCTTTTCAACACATAAATATTTTCCCTCAGTATACTGCGTGCTAATTGCCTGAGGAACTTACAACGGCTGCACAATATTCCAATAAATGGAATGTTCCATACTAAAGCATCTGCCTTAGGTTATGAGCAGTCTAATGGTTACAAAGTCACATTTTGAAAATTTAAGTCTCCTGCTCTCACTTTTCATATCAAAAGATTTAACAGAAACATGTAATTTATCAAAAAACAAAGTAACACACAAAAAAACTTCCTAAATACACTAATAATAAGCAACAGAACTGGGGCAAAAAAATGAAGGGAGTAAAAACAAGCATCTAGATTCAATTCATAAATCAAGAGGTACATAAAAGAGAGCAAAGAAGTTCAGAAAAATTAACCTCAAATTAAGCTTTATTTTTACAGAAGTTTACCAAGTTCTAAGTGTAAAAAAAAGTTTTAATCCACAATGAAAAGCCTGAATTAGTAACATTAAAAATCTTTCAATTAATCAAAGCTATAAATATTAACTTGAAAATGGCATTTATTTTAAAACCTGAAGTTTTGAGAAATGTTTATTTGGTTTCATTATTATAGCTAGCCCTAATTTTTAAATATATCATATCCTTGTTTATACAGCCAAAACCAGTAACTGCACAAAGAAATTTCTCGAAAGGAAAAAAAAGTTACTCCATTCAAAAATATTTGTATAACAGCTTAAATACACTCACTGGAAAACCAAGTATCTTTAACACTTGACAGGTGCTTAATATATTGTTTACAAAACACAACGTAATTATTTTGTGAACAGGTTCCATACATAAAATCATAATAGCTGACATCACTTCTTTAAATGATGTAATCCTAAATATGCAAATTAACCCCAATACTAGTAGGAAGACTAGCTCTGATGCCTGTAAAACGTGTAAGATTACCACATATTTTTCTAAATCAACTCTTACCCCATTAACCCACAGCCAATTACTGATCACCTTTCTAAATACATATCTTCAATTTTTTTCTAACTATAAAATGCATACCCGTTAAAAAATCTTGGAAACAAAGAAAACAAAGATCACAATCTCATAATCCCACTACTGGTTCATGTGCTTCTAGTCATTTATCCAAATACACATATCAAATTCAGTTTTTTTCTTTTTTTTGTTATTTGGGACAAGAAACTAAGTGCCTTTTCAGTAGTTCATTTGAATCTACCATACTTCAAAAATTAAATATCTACCATCACCAAAGAAGTACAACGCCATTTTTATTAGTTGCAAAATTAGGCTATTTACTTTCCTGTATGTATTTTCGTGAGGTTTAAAATGTTAGGCTTATTACTTCTTTCTGGTGTGAGAGAAAAAGCACAGGCACTGTAAAGAAAAAGGAATAGATTGCTAATCTCGATTTTGTCAATTAGGATGAATGTAACCTTATGTAAATTACAAAGTTCCTGAATCTGCGCGGATGAAAATGGAAATATACTAACTGCACCTACCAAACAGGGCTGATTGAGGATTAAATAAAACAACACATGTAAAGGTAGTGCCTGGCGCACAGCAGAAACTCCAGGCCGGACGCGGTGACTCACGCCTGTAATTCCAGCACTTTGGGAGGCCGAGGCGGATGGATCACCAGGTCAGCACTTTGGGAGGCCGAGGCAGGTGAATCACGAGGTCAGGAGTTCGAGACCAGCACGGCCAAGATGGTGAAACCCCGTCTCTACCAAAAATACAAAAATTAGCCGGGTTGTGGTGGCGGGCGCCTGTAATCCCAGCTGCTCGGGAGGCTGAGGCAGAGACTCGCTTGAACTCGGGAGGCAGAGGTTGCAGTGAGCCGAGATGTGCCACTGCATTCCAGGCTGGGTGAAAAGAACGAGCCTCCGTCTCAAAAAAAAAAAAAAAAAAAAAAAAAACCTCCACAAATACCAGTTCTTTACTTTCCATTAAAAAAAACAGCGTGAAGGAGATACAACTACTAAAAGCCTGCCTTTTAAAACATAAATACAGTAACTGTGAGCGAAACGGTGTTATCACTTGTAATCACAATCCACACACACTTGGCGACACCTCCGGGTGTCACTGCACCCCAAATTTTACCTTCGGAAAGGAAGTATTTTTAAGTATCCTACACGTGTTTGGCTATCTGAAATCAGAGTTGACAAGGGGGAAGAAAGCAAAAAAATTCTCATGTGAAGTATACACCCTGAGTTAAAACCCCGCGGCTGAGAATTTCCTTTAAAATAGGGTAATTAAGGATGAAAAGAAAAGCAGCTCTACATTTTTCCCTCTCTCCCCCCAAGACAAGTCTAGGGATGAGAAAAAAAAAGTAATTCCTTACAGGAATTTACAGAGAACGCCACGGACAGATAACACGCAGGCGTCAGAGTAAGTCCGAAAAATTGCTCCTTGCGCAGGTCCGCGTACCTGAGATCCTAAGACTTAAATCACTACCCTGGGGTCTTCCTGCAGAATCTGGGAGTGAGACAGAAGCAGGAGGGGGTGCACGGCGTGGAAAAGTCACAGAGGCAGAAAAAACAATGGGAGAGGGAGGCGGCGGCAAAACACTAAGATCCAGGCTCGGGCGAAGCGGCTGCGCCTGCGGGAAAGCAAAATAGTTGAGTAACTTAAAAAATAAGGAAATTCCGGGTTCTCTGAAGGGAAGGACGGAGGGCCGTGAGAAACAGGGAGGCTGTGGCGGAAAGAGGGGCGGTGTCGTCGGAGAGCAGGGTCGACGATGGAAAGCGAGCAGCGGCGGGAGCGGAAAGCGAGGACCTGGACGTGGGCGGGGGAGAAGACCCGGAGGCCTTTGGGGGTCGGCGAAACTGAGAAAACCCGACGGGGGCGAAAAGGGGTCGGGCAGCGCAGTACCTGCAGAGATCGTCCAGGACGCTGCCGGGAATCTCCACCCGTTTGGTCTCCATGATGAGGACCCACAGCAGGAACAGTGCATCCCGGCTCCGCGCGGCCGGGAACTGACGGTACGGCACGAGGACTCCGGCTCGCCGGAGAGCTGGCAGCCGAGGCAGCCGCGGCAGAGACGACTCCAACAGAGACGAGAAGGGGAAGGGGCGGGACCCGCTCACTTCCGTCCCGCTCCCTCAGCCTTGGACCCCGAGACTGGGCCAAGGCTCGGGGCGGGGCCCCTGGAGTCACGCCCCTGCTCGCTTGAAAGGCCCAATGGGAAGCTGAAGAATTGGGAACCTAAACACGCTAAGCCAATGAGACGTTTGTTTATTGGTCCGCTACTTCCAATCCGTCTTCAAGCTGCTCAGTTGCTACTCAGAAAACCAACTTCCCGCCGCCTTTGGGGTGGCTACACGCAGGCGCACCACGCCTCCTGCGCGCTTCTAGGAAGTTTAGAGGGGTCGGGGCTTCCGTGTAGACCCCGAGACACACATCCGGGACTTTGGCCTGTTGTGCAGGACATCGCGGTGACTGAGCTCTTTCCTCTGCAGGGTCGACCCTGAGGAGGATCCGTTCAACACAAGAGTATACTCGCGATTCCTGTCACCAAGTATGCACTTACCGCTGCCCCCAGCAACTCCAGGCCAAGAGCTGTGCCTCTTTCACTACAAACCCTTGGAGAGGGTATCCTTTTTCGAGGTGGCTCACCTCTGTCCTGCCTTAGGCACCTGGTTCCAAGTATGAAGACAAGGACTTTATCTCAGTATCTGGCACCTAGCAAAATCTTAGAAAATACTGATTTAAGCTGAACTCTGATCTGTATTCCACCCTCTGCACAAAGCAACCCCAACCTGCTCGTCCTTATTCATTCCTCATCTTGCTTAATGGAGTCCAATCCATTTGGGATCTCTGGAGAAACTAGATCCATCTGTTCTTTCTCTTACATCAGACTCACAGGCCCACACACACCTGCTCCATCACAAGTTTAGTCTATTCTACCATTTAATCTCCCATCTTTTGTCTAAATTTGTCAAATGCCATTGTGTACTTCAGTTTTGCATCATTTCTCCATACTATAGCGAGAGCTGTCTAACCAGTGACCCCTGCCTCCATTCTTGGCCTGTGCAACTGCCTACGAACAAGTTATCTTTTCAGCTTCTGCTGTATCAGCAAGCCCAAGGTCCCTTGGCATAAGAGGCCTGTCACCATCTATTTTGCTCCCCTGGTTTCCATCTTTTTTTCCCTCTGTCTTGGAGAATTCCTCAAATTTATCTTCCTGACAACTACAGAGGTTTTACTTCTTTTGAGTTCTATTTTGTTCTTCAAATGCCCCTTTCGTGTGGTGTCATATTCTTGCTTCATATATTTTATTTTATCCTTCTGAGGATTTTAATAGATTTTGACGTTTTCTTCTCCCTGAGTAGTCTTATTCCTTTCAGCTGCTTTTTGCTATTATATTGGTCTCATCTATCCTATTAGAAGCATCTGTAGTCCTTGACTATTCACTCACACTTAAGAGTAAGGCCTGGAGTCAAGTGCCTTGAAAGCTAATTGGAAGCTCTAACCTTGTAGATGGGACTTGTTTCCTGAGAGCTTAGCTGTAGGATGACCTGGCTGAGCTGTTGGTTGGAAACACATGGCATCAGTATTTGTACGTAATTCTTTCTGCTGATCAAATTCCCTAAAGAGAAAATGCTTCCAGGCACAGCTTCATGTATTCTGGGAGTCCAGTACAGAAGCACAGGCTGCAGTATTCCATTTGCTTTATTCAGTACTCCTGGCACAGTCCAAGTCTTATTTTAGATTTCCTAAGAAGCAGGCACTGAGACAAGGTTTTGAGTGCAGAAAGCCTGTGAGGGAGGTGATCCTGGGAAACACTGGTAGCAGAGCAGGAAAGTGAGTCAAGGAAGGGAAGAAAGCCAAAGGGTTTATTATCAAGGAAATTAGCACTGTGGTTAACTGGAGTTTACTGTCACTGGAGAACTCTGGAGGCCAGTATGAAACATATACCTCAGAGTTATACCACTCAAGGGGTGAGGGAGATGGGGATTTATATACCAACTTCCTTCATTGGTTGAGGGTAGCTCCTGGGGTCTGCACTCTAGCCTGCTACATGGGCAGCAAGATGGACTCTGGTGGCCAGAAGAAGGGCGAAGAAATGCAGATACTAGCAGCTAGACCTCCAGCCAGTGTAGTGGATGGATTGGTAAGGGTAAGAGTGAGCCCCTTCAGTTCTATTTTGCCAACTGTGCATTCTACCTGTTCTGACTGAATGTTTTTTCTCTGACTGGCGGGCACCAAAATGGTTTTCTTAAGTTGTCTCACTTAGAGCTCAAGTCGAGTTTTTAGAGTACTCTAAATGATGGCAGTGAAACAATAGTTCAAGGCAAAGTGGTGCTTACCCACATGGGCCAATGGTATATTAATAGAAACAAGCAGGTTACCGGGCACTTGCTGAAGCACCTGGAGGAATTCTTCTTACTACCTTCTAGTCTCCCAGTTTAGGGGCAGCTATACAACTCCCTTTGGACTCTTAGAGGCCAGGAAGTCCCCAAACTCACACAGTGTTAAACCAATCTGCCTTATTAAGAGTTTCTGAGATGTCTGTGGTCCAAGATATTATCTTGCCCAAGCCCCATCCATCCACTGCCTCCTCACACACAGATTTCCAGGAGCTGGACTAGTGCAACCCTTATAGCAGCCCCCCCAAGCCATGACTTCCAAAGAACCGAAGTTTATGGTAGAGGCACCCAACAGCAGTAACTTAAGCATACCCAAGGGAATGACCCTGTATGGCAGACAACCTGAATGAGTTTGCAGTTCCAAGCGGGGCCAACCAAGATTCATTCCTTATCTATGAGGAACATCTGAGCCCTGTGGAATGCAGGCCATACAGGAGGGCTAGGCCCTTTGTTTTGCGCTAAATGAAGGTTGCCAGGTGGAAGCTGTTAGGGAGAGGGTGCTAAATGAAAATGCTATATAAACTGCATACTTTTTGCAGGTGGTGTTCTTGTGTCCAGCTCAACTCCAGTGGACCACTCTGTATGTAAATTCCCCCTCAATAAGCCATATGCCTCATTTGCTGGCTCTGGGTCTCTTCTCCAGCCTCTTAAACTTAAGAGGCCATCCTTGTTAAAGTGCCATCCCTGTTAAAGTGAATAGGGACACCAAGGCCTCAATTCCATCCAATTGTTCACAAGACCTAGCTGAGAATGACAACGTGGAGCCTAGAGTTAAGGGAACAGGAGAACAGGAGATGCTAGGGTTCTTAAATTATAATACTGATTTGACTTTTAAATTGGGTTGATTAAAACCTTTATAGTTTTAAAATATGCTATTTCATTTAGTCTTTTTTTTTTTTTTTTTTTTTTTTTTTTTTGGAACAAGATCCCATTCTGTTGCCCAGGCTGGAGTGCAGTGGCACTATCATAGCTCACTGTAACCACCAACTCCTATCCTAGGCTCAATCTCCCACCTCACCCTCCCAAGTAGCTAGGAATACAAGTGGGCACCACCAGGCCTGGCCAATTATTTTTTTAAAAACTTTGTAGAGACAGGGGTCTCACTTGGATGCCTATGCTAGTCCTAAACTCCTGGCCTCAAGCAATCCTCCTGCCTTAGCTTCCCAAAGCTCTGGGATTACAGGCATGAGCCACCATGCCTGGCCTCGTTTAGTCTTTATTACTACATGAAATAGACAAAGATTAATGAGGCTTATAAAGATTAAATGACTCAAAGTTTAATGATTAAGCGACAGTATGTAATAGAGTCAGGACTAGAATTCAGTTTTAAACTCAGCAGGAATTCTGCCTTAGGGAGAATGACACAAAAAATTATTATTTATGTCTGTACAGCATATTATAGTATAAAATTCAAATATAATCTCACAACAAAACACGCTGTCATTGAATCATAAAAGTATTTAACTTGCTTATTGGCCTTTTAAATTGATTGAGGTAGCCTGTAATCCCAGCATTTTGGGAGGCTGAGGCAGGCGGATCACGAGATCAGGAAATTGAGACCATCTTGGCTAACACGGTGAAACCCCGTCTCTACTAAAAATAGAAAAAATTAGCCAGGTGTGGCGGCGGGTACCTGTGGTCCCAGCTACTTGGGAGGCTGAGGCAGGAGAATGGCGTAAACCCAGGAGGCGGAGCTTGCAGTGAGCAGAGATTGCGCCACTGCACTCCAGCCTGGGTGACAGAGCGAGACTGACTCAAAAAATAAATAAATAAGAGAGTAAGGTTAAATTAAAGAATCAAAGCTTCTTCACATCCCTACAGAGTTCTTATGGTTAAACTCAACGTTTATGGAGTAACACATAATTGCCCCTTCTGTTAGCCCCACTCTCTTTCTAGTACGCCATCTCCTACAGCATATAAAATGTTTTAGTAACATTTACCAAGAAACAAAACCTGCCTTCATCTCTATGGCAGAGTCTTACTAGATGCTGACTGTATTAGTCTGTTCTCATACTCCTAATAAAGACATACCCAAGACTGGGTAATTTATAAAGGAAAGAGGGGTTTTTTTGTTTTTTTGTTTTTGTTTTTTTGAGATGGAGTCTCGCTCTGTCACCCAGGCTGGAGTGCAGTGGCATGATCTCCACTCACTGCAAGCTCCAGCCCCCGGGGTTCATGCCATTCTCCTGCCTCAGTCTCCCAAGTAGCTGGGACTACAGGTGCCCACCACCATGCCCAGCTAATTTTTTTGTATTTTTAGTAGAGACGGGGTTTCACCGTGTTCGCCAGGATGGTCTCGATCTCCTGACCTTGTGATCTGCCTGCTTCGGCCTCCCAAAGTGCTGGAATTACAGGCATGAGCCACCACACCCAAAGTGCTGGGATTACAGGCGTGAGCCACTGCACCCGGCCTATAAAGTAAAGAGGTTTAATTGACTCACAGTTCCACATGGCTGGGGAGGCCTCACAATCATGGCAGAAGGCAAAGGAGGAGCAAAGTCACATTTTACATGGCAGCAGGCAAAAAGAGCATGTGCAGGGGAACTTCCCTATATAAAACCATCAGATCTTGTGAGATTTATTCACTGTCACAAGAACAGCACAGGAAAGACCCATCCCCATGATTCAATTACTTCCCACCAGGTGCCTCCCATGACACCTGGGAATTATGGAAGCTACAATTCAAGATGAGATTTGGGTGGGGACACAGACAAACCATGTCATTCACCAATCCCATTTCCTTTTCCTGGATTCACAGGCCTCCTTGCATTTAGATTGAAAAAGGCAATTGAGTTCTGGCCAGTGGAATGAAGATAAATGTGATATACCCAACTTCAAAGCACAGCTCCTGAAATGTTCTATGTAATTTTCACGTAATTTTTATGTTCTCTCTTTTCTCTTCCCAGCTGAAAGCAAAGAACTCTTTAGATAGTGGAGTCTCATGGAAAAAGCACAGACCCTTGAGTGTACTGCTTGGAGGAGAGCTACCCTGGAGCAGTTGCTCCAGATTCTGCTTGAGCAAAAAATAAACTTTTGCTGCATAAAGTATCTTGTTTTTTTGTTGTTGGGTTTTTTCTTTTTTCACACAAACTCTTTTCCATAATCAGTAAATGCAGGTTGTAGTGGTCATTCTTGTTTACATACCCAGCTCTCATTTACCCAGGGCCAGCTGCATGCGTGTATGCATAAACCATATAGTTGCACAGAACCCTGCACTCAGAAAGGCCCCATGTTTGGTTTAATGCTCTGATGTTACCATCTTGAAATTCTCAATTTTGTTTTTGAACTTGTGTTTTGTAAGTGAAATTGGAGGGAAAATAGAGCATGAGCAGAGCTGACACATGCAATATGCATGTCCACTCACTCCTTGCCGTGCCATTTGCATATAGCATTTGCATTGTCCTATTTAAATAGAATTTCACTGAAGTCACAATGCATGAAAGTTCAGCAAGATTCAGAGTAAGAACAACATAGGCCCATTACAACTGAGTAGGTGGGGTCACTGTCAGCCCTAAGAGGTCAAGCTTCCTGTGTATCAGAACTTGTTCTAATGCAAGAAGAAGACAATGGCAGTCCAAAAAACACAAAGCACCAAGAAACTCTATCATATCCTTTCCTATTGCTTTCCTGATTTAGCTAACCCCTTATGCTGAAAATGATGACACAGAAGGAAAGGGGAAGAAAGAGCAACCCATCTTTTCCTTTTCTTTTCAGTTTTTTCCTCATCAATAAGAAGGTAGAGAGTGTGGTAGAATATGTATGTGTACATCAAGAAGTGACATAAAAACAGTTGACTTTTGTACAGCATTTTGACTGTTCTGGTAACAAATACATCATACATGTACAAAGTATGAAATAAGAATTATGTAATTTCAGTGATTCTACATACAAGTTAAATGGTCCCATATTTGCACTTAAAACCAGCATTGCGGCTGGGCACAGTCGCTCATGCCTGTAATCCCAGCACTTTGGGAGGCTGAGGCGGGCAGATCATGAGGTCAGGAAATCGAGACCATCCTGGCCAATGTGGTGAAACCCCGTTTCTACTAAAAATACAAAAATTAGCTGGGTGTGGTGGTGCATACCTTTAATCCCAGCTACTCAGGAGGCTGAGGCAGGAGAATCACTTGAACCTGGGAAGAGGAGGTTGCAGTGAGCCGAGATGGTGCCACTGCACTCTAGCCTGGCGACACAGCGAGACTCCATTTAAACAACAACAACAACAAAAAACCAGCATTGAATAATGTAAAGATGGTGAAAAGTCTTTGCAATGATTTTAATTTTACTTATACTTAATTTTAACTTTAATCTTTACTTAGAATGACATTAAATATCAAAAACACCATAAGTCAAGAGAGAAACTGTGAAAGAAAGGAAATGCCTTTATATTCCAGTGTTTTTGTTGTTATTGTGGTTAAGAGATGGGGTCTTGGTTTGTTGCCCAGGCCAGACTTAAATTCCTGGGCTCAACAATCCTCCTGTGTAACTGCGACTATAGGTGTATGCCACCTCACCTGGCTTTCTAGTACCTTTAGTGACACTTTTTTCCTGCCTTTTGAATAAGGAGCTCCATACTTTGATGAGGGGAACAGGCTCTGCAAATTATGTATTAATAGCAGACCCTGAATTCACCCCTTACTCTTTCCTAACAGAACCCTGATTAAGACATGTATCCCCTTAGCTTCCCTCACACAGCACATGTGACTCTGGGGAAGCCAGAAACACTTTTGGCTCAAAGGCCAAGATCTGGTTGGTAAGTCAAACACCACACTCCATTCCCTGGAAATGTACCCATTCTCTGGACAGGTACATACCTCCATTGTCTAGTCAGTGTATATCATAGAACTCCTGCTTAAAACCTCAAGATGAAAAAGTCTCTCTTCTTTCATTGGGTGTCATCAGGTCAGGATATGATGTCTGGAACTTCCACAGCCAGTACTCAGTGACTGATATACTACTACTCACTATTACCTTGAGGTTGAAGCGAACGTGTGGAACGGGGCAAAGCTGAAAGATCTGTAGGAAAATGGACCTAGAACTGTCAGGAAGTGGGCTGGCGGAGAGAGAGAGCACTAGCTGAGCTAACAGGTATCAGAGTAGCCAATTAGACCAACAAACCAAAAATGAAAGAGTAGTATTTACTACAAGGATATAAACAAGAGTCTAAAACCAGAGAAAGTGCCTACTATTTCTGTTCCGTTTCCCCCATGGAACTGCGCACTAGCCTTGGGTAACATGGGTCAGCACGGATATAGGGGGTCATGGAGTCATATCGCTGTTAAGGGATCCCTGAAGAATAAGCTCCAGAAGTTTTATGGACTCTGAGGTGCAGTAGGGAAGGCAAGGGGGAACGGCTGGGAGTGGAAAAGTACTGAGTACCTAGGCAACCTCGAAAAGAATGTCAAGGTTTCCTCTCCCCTTCCCACAAGGAGGCCTCAGCAGAGAAGCCTAAAGAACCCTCTCCCCAGCCAGGCACAGTGGCTCATGCCTGTAATCCCAACACTTTGGGAGGCCAAGGCTGGCAGATTGCTTGAGCTATTAAGTTCGAGAGCAGCCTAGGCAACATGGCAAAACCCTGTCTCTACAAAAACTATAAAAAATTAGCCTGGCATGGTGGCATCCACCTTAGTCCCAGCTATTCAGGAGGCTGAGGTGGGAGGAGTGCTTGAGCCCAGGAAGCCAAGGCTGCAGTGAGCTGAGATTGTAACACTGCATTCCAGCCTGGGTGACAGAGCCAGACCCTCTCTCAAAAGAGAAAAAAAAAAAGCCTCTGCACAAGGCCTCACATAAAGAAACCTAGGAATGAAGGAAGCACCAGGGATAGGAAGGCAAATATTTACAGTTATGAGTTGCTTCAGAACAGGATAAGTTCTGAGAAATGCATTGTTGGGTGATTTTGGGTTCATTGTGTGAACATTATAGAGTATACCAACACAAACATAGATGGCATAACCTACCTAGGCTATATAGTACAGCCTATTGCTCCCAGGCTACCAACTTGTACAATATGTTACTATACTGAATACTGTAGGCAATTATAACACAGTGGTAAGGCTTTATATATCTAAAAATACCTAAACACAAAAAAGGCACAGTCAAAATATGGTATAATAACCTTATGGAACCAACACCTTCGAATATGTTGTTGGCTGAAATGCTGTTCTGTGGCCCGTGACTGTATCAGAGCCTGCAGCACACTAGCTGTGCACCAAGTCTGTGGAAGGGAGGGCAGCTTTCCTCCACGAGGGCTGCCAGGTAGAGGCTTTGTAATCACCTGCAGTCAGACAGACCTGAAAAACCACACGTAGGTTTTTAACCAGGAGCTGACAGACCTGAAAAATCACACACAGGTTTCTAACCAGGAGCTGGACTCCTCAAGAACTAAGTGAAACCCAAAGCCTATCCTACCTCTGAATTTACATGAACCAAATATTTCTTCCGAAGCTATCTGTTATTTGAGCCTAAATCATTTTAATTTATATGTTCCTGTATCCATCCAGTAACTCAAATCAGAAAACCTAAGAGTGAATCTTGATTCCTGTTTTTCTCATACATCACTATGCCCAATACATCAGCAATTCCTATCTAGTCTACCACCAGAACATATCTAAGATCCATCCCTGTTTCCTCCACCTCAACTTTCCCCACCTTAGTCCAGGCCACAGCACTTCTCACTTAGACTACTTCAACTGGCTTCTAACTGGTTTCCTGTCTTGCACCCATGCTTCATTTTAATCTGTCCTCCACATAGCAGCAAGAGTGATCAGGCTGGGCATGGTGGCTTACTCCTGTAATCCCTACATTTTTTTAAAAATTTTTTATTATTATTATTATACTTTAAGATCTAGGGTACATGTGCATAACGTGCAGGTTTGTTACATATGTATACTTGTGCCATCTTGCTGTGCTGCACCCATCAACTCGTCAGCACCCATCAACTCGTCATTTACATCAGGTATAACTCCCATTGCCATCCCTCCCCCCTCCCGCCTCCCCATGATAGGCCCCGGTGTGTGATGTTCCCCTTCCCGAGTCCAAGTGATCTCATTGTTCAATTCCCACCTATGAGTGAGAACATGCAGTGTTTGGTTTTCTGTTCTTGTGATAGTTTGCTAAGAATGATGGTTTCCAGCTGCATCCATGTCCCTACAAAGGGCACAAACTCATCCTTTTTTATGGCTGCATAGTATTCCATGGTGTATATGTGCCACACTTTCTTAATCCAGTCTGTCACTGATGGACATTTGGGTTGATTCCAAGTCTTTGCTCTTGTGAATAGTGCCGCAATAAACATACATGTGCATGTGTCTTTATAGCAGCATGATTTATAATCCTTTGGGTATATACCCAGTAATGGGATGGCTGGGTCATATGGTACATCTAGTTCTAGATCCTTGAGGAATCGCCATACTGTTTTCCATAATGGTTGAACTAGTTTACACTCCCACCAACAGTGTAAAAGTTTTCCTATTTCTCCACATCCTCTCCAGCACCTGTTGTTTCCTGACTTTTGAATGATCGCCATTCTAACTGGTGTGAGATGGTATCTCATTGTGGTTTTGATTTGCATTTCTCTGATGGCCAGTGATGATGAGCATTTTTTCATGTGTCTGTTGGCTGTATGAATGTCTTCTTTTGAGAAATGTCTGTTCATATCCTTTGTCCACTTTTTGATGGGGTTGTTTGTTTTTTTCTTGTAAATTTGTTTGAGTTCTTTGTAGGTTCTGGATATTAGCCCTTTGTCAGATGAGTAGATTGCAAAACAGAACAGAGTCCTCAGAAATAATACCACACATCTACAGCCATCTGATCTTTGACAAACCTGAGAGAAACAAGAAATGGGGAAAGGATTCCCTATTTAATAAATGGTGCTGGGAAAATTGGCTAGCCATAAGTAGAAAGCTGAAACTGGATCCTTTCCTTACTCCTTATACGAAAATTAATTCAAGATGGATTAGAGACTTAAATGTTAGACCTAATACCATAAAAACCCTAGAGGAAAACCTAGGTAGTACCATTCAGGACATAGGCATGGGCAAAGACTTCAT